GAAAAAGATGCTTGCCGGGATCCAGAATCTTCCATTTATCTGACTGATTCACCAGGCAATGTAACACTAAATGGTGGTTTCTTCATTTAGAAAAAAATAAAAAGCAATCTATCCAATGAGTGCTGCACCAGAATGAGCAATTACCCAATCTGCGCCATGACAGGGAACATTACTTTGTATATGGTACACTGGAGACATCACTACTTAGCGACAAACGGAGGAATATACCAAACTGTTTTTACTCCACTCCGTTTCAGTCTTAAAACCCCAACAAAACCCGCATATTGTACGTATGGATAAACACATCAGCGTCAACCTGAAATGCTTTTAGCTTCAGGCATATACATTTGTGTACAGTGATCAGTTTGAGAAACTCAAATTTCCACATCTGTGTAAATCAGCCCGAGCGGATGCTCCATTGGACTGAAAAGGAACAAAGCAAGATGAACATGATAGTTCTGGCTATCAGGCTAAGATCTGTGCATTTAAAAAGTGCTGTGTCTCGTGGCTCCATAATCAAACAACACAGTGACACTTTGTGTATATTGAAGCTATTTAAATGGAGCATTACTTTGAGGATATTCAATGAAGTAAAAATGAGTTTGATTTTGAAAACAGTCCAGTTTTGTGATGAGGCTTTTTCCTGTTGAAATGGGCCTTAGACTCATAGACGCTGCTTTAAAAGGTGGCTGTGGCCTACATGTGGGGGTGGGGGCAATAGCAGCATTTCATTAAATATCAAATTAGTTTTATATGTAAATAACTTGGCCATAGGCAGTCCAAGCAGCTCAAACCTATCTAGGTAATCAGCAATTACAGCTAAAATAAGCACACAGTGTTGCAAGTTATTACCAGACTGAGTTCCATAAAAAAAGACTAAAAAATAAAAAGCCCCTGACAAGGATGACTGATGGATGTATTCCAAAATCTCAGGATACATAACTGAAATTATTCTGATAATAAAGGCAGCAATCACCAGGTTAGTGTGTTTGCATGTTGACATTTACAAGGAAATTTGCTCAGAAAAAAGAAGAAGAACAAAGAAGACATTTTAATTTGATTAAATACAAAACTGAGGATGCTAAAATTATTATAGTGATTCATACAATAATAGTGGAGGCATACCCTGATTACCCCATCTTAGATTTGAATGCTGGTGTTTTCAGGTGTATAAAACCAAGCACCTAGCCAAGCAGTCTGTCTTTATAAACATTTGCCAAAAATGAGTCGTCCCTAAAGAGTTCACTGAAGAGTGGTTATTTTTCCCATTCTAGATATTCCCCAATCATCTGTGAAAGGTTTTATTACAAATAATAGGAGCTTCATTATATGGGTTTTCATGGTCCAGCAGCTCCTACAGGTGTAACGTATACATAGCCCCATACTTTTGTTCAGACTGTATTTTTTATGCCCCTGTCATGCTCTCAAAACATCCAACAACCTGTTAAAGCCTATGGGGCACCACAGTCTTTTCATGATCCTAGATTTTGATCCAACGTTTTGTGTTTCTGAACTTTTTTTCATTCATTTTAATTTATGTTCATTAAGACATACTAGTCTTTAGTTTCCTGATTTCTCCTTCAGGTATATCCGCCTCAGTGCTGTTCTTTGTTCTTGTTGTGTCTAGTATTCGTGTTCTCGGGTTTTCTTAGTTACAGTTATAGGCTTCTGTTTATTTCCTTGCGTCATCCTGCCTCCCCTGTGTCTTGTCACGTCAAGTCTCCACTTCCATTTTGCTAGTCTTTGTCTCATGTGTGTTATGTTTCGTTTTGCTTCCCCTGTATTGTCTTCCTTGATTGCTGCCAGCTGTTCCCCCACCTGCTTCCTGTCCTCTCGCTATCCCGTGTGTGCATTTATTGTTTCCGTCTCCCTTTGTTCTGTGTTGTTTCATCCCTCTTTTGCTGTAGCTGTGCACCCTGTAGGTTCTGTGTTATTTCCTAGTGAAAGAGTTCTTAGTTTTTGTTTAGCCTAATTTCCTTGTTTTGAGTCTTAATTTCCATAAAGCCGTTTCTGAGTTTCCCTGTCATTTCTGGCATCCTCCATTTTGGATCCCAAGTCTGATGGCAACTGTTTTTGTATTCACGTCTTGTGATGTATGGATTCGTGTTCCTTGACACAAATTGTCATATGAACAGTCCCATATATACAACCTCATGTAGAAGAATAAATAATTCACACTTGTAATCTTCCAAGTTCTATGGCTTCACTGGTGATAATCCAACCCTAACCCAATATTTTAGAAAAAATTCATTAGTTTTTAATATCAGTGTTTATGTGTCATTTAAGATGCTTTTCCCCCCTTATTTTCCCCCTTTGCTTGCCAAGAATTCAGAGAGCAATTTTAAAAGGACAACACAGAGATATCCTGACACAAAGCATAACAATTTGTGTCTATATGTACAAAAACGTAACAGCTTTTCATGACTATTTGTCAGTTTTTGTCATATAAGTATTTGTCATGAAAGTTTCAAGTTTTTCAAGTTCTGTCTTGATGATTTGCAGCAGTGGATCCTTTGGGTTCTACAGGTTATAAGGGGGAGTCTCCATGGGTAACACTTGTTCAATTGGACTGGGATCTAGGGAATGTAAAGGTCAAATCATTGCCTTGGGTGTTCTGATGTAGTGAGGTACACCATCCTGTTGGGGCAGAAAGCTGCCATTGTGCTTACCAGTGAAGTTTAAGTGGATAGTTCATGTGAAAAACATACACATGATTAACAAGCTTAAAGGTGTATCCCAGCATTACAATGAAAGAAAAGATGGTCAGTGTATTCACTTCCCCTTTCTGCAGCAAACACACATCAACCTAGGTGGCACTTCTTAATTAAGGGGATCACCAGAGTCATTAGGATTAGTTCTCTGGACATCATGAATGGATTTATGGATGAAGACTTTACAGCTTTTATTCTAAGTTCCTGAGCTTGTTCGGTTTGGACCAAGATGAGCCATCTACCTCACAGAGCAGTCACATAAAACTGTCTGGATCAACGTTTTGCTCACAATTATGTAATTTATAATGAGTAATATTCATTTATTAATAATAATAATAATAGTAATAATACAATTGTTACCTGTTCCCTTTCCTCTGATTGATATGTGCAGCTACTAACATTGATCAATTAAGGCATAGCTGTGTGAGACTGAAGACACTCCATACTTTCAGGTTATCAGTGGAGCCTTTAGGCTACAAATCCATGTTACATGTTAGAGACACGATTGAGTGAAAGAGACACAACATCAAAGATGAAACTGAGAATAAAAACCCCATCCTGCGGTGGCCTTAATCCTTCAACACCTGCGATTTGAAGCACACTCCTTTGATGTTGTTGGTTCAGCTGGAGAGAAAGAGACTTGATAGAGGGAGAGAGAAATGTGTGGATAATAGACTGCTCATTTAACACAGAACTAAACTGAATGCAAGTTAAAGTGACAGACCGGTGTGGATAGAAAATGAAACCTTCAGTGATGTAACGCTAGGATGGTTTACTGTTCCATCGCACTGACAAACTGCTGCGCTGAGACCGCTGACTGGATATCTGGTGACGTCTGGAAGCAGTATATAAAATTCAGAGAAAGGAACTATTCATAAAGACACTCAGCTTGTCTGAGACCTCTGGACACTATTTTATACACATCCCGTCATGATCGAGACCTCTCTGTGCTGGAAAGTCCCCTCACACGAGAAACACCTCTACAGCCCCCACGTGGCAGGGAAGTCAGTGACAAGTGTACTTTTTTCCTCTTATCCTTTTTTTTATTATCTTGATTTATAGTCATTCTGCTGATTATTTAAATGCTTCTGGTCAATGTGCTTCATTGAACATTTAACTCCATTTACAACGTTGAATTCCTCTGTGATTGTAGCTTTCATATGTATCTCAGTCCCTCTAAAATAAATCCACAGCAGGGATTTAGCAAATTCAGATAAATCAGCGAATCAGGACTATAAACGAGTCTAGTGTGCAAAAAAGAAAAGAAATAGAGACTACTGATGTTATATTTTTCAGGTGTGGGAACTAAATGCCCTGAGGCACCGGCCATAGGGCAGCAGGTCACACAGGTGGTGATCGGACTGTGAGGAGTCACCCGTCATGGCCCTGGTTTTCCTGAGACAGGAGGAGCTGGTGATGGGGTTGCAAATTGGACTCATTAAGGCTGATTGATAAGAAATTCTTTGATCCAGGATGAAATGGCAGGGAGGACGTGGAGGTGCTCCAGTTTGGTGGTAAGGATGTCCAAACTGGAACACTTGCAGTTTGGATTATGGTGTTGAACGCTGTGCTATAGTCCACGAAGAGCATCCCCATGCAACTCTTCCCGTTACATGGGGATGTAACAGGAAGGGAGGAGGGGGGTAAACAGTTTCTGATGTGCTGAGACACTATCAGCTACACGTGACTACAGACGTGAGGGTTATAGACCTGTAGTCCTATATTGAGGCTGTCTATTCCAGTCTATCAGTTCCTGACGACTGAAAGTGCTCAGTGCATTGCAGGAAAACGCAGTGAAAAAAAACACAAAAATATAAAAAGATGCACTTTAGATGGGAGTGCTGTGTCGATACATGTGTGTGTGCGTGCTGCCATCTTAAAAAAAAAAAAAAAGCTAAAATTTTCACTAGGTTTCCAATCTTCTTTCTTATGAAGTCAAAATCCTGTACACATTGTTAAAATTATTGATTAGGTACACCAGTTTAACTGCTCTCTAACAGAAATATGGAATTAGCCAGTCACATGACAAGTTCGATTTAGACACAGCAAAGATTTTCCTGCACAACCATCTCTTGGTTTTATAGAGAACAGATCCAAGAAGAGAAAACGTCCTATGAGAAGTAGTTCTCTGAGTCTTGTTGGTCTTGTTGATGTCAATGATCACATGAGAATGGGCATACTGCTTTAAGCTGATAGGAAGGTAACAGTAACTCAAACAACTACTGTAACAACAAAAGTATGCAGAAGAGCATCTCTAAATGCTTCCAACATGACAATGAGTTCACTGTGCTCAAACGGCCTCCACAGTTAACAGATCTCAGTCCAACAGAGCACCTTTGGGATGTGGTGGAATGGGTGATTCACATCACGGATGTGCAGCCAGCAAATCTGCAGCAACTCTGTCACGCTATCATGTCAATATGGACCTAAATCTCCGAGGAATGTTTCCAGCACCTTGTTGAATCTATGTCATGTGAATCAGGACGGTTTTAAAGGAAAAAAGGTCCAACCCAGTGCTAGCAATGTGTACCTAACAAAGTGGCAAGCACACGCATACTGATCAGTTAATCTAGACAATAATTATCAAATGAACAAAATGAGAATGAATAGTTAAAGCCCTAACAATAACAACAACAACAACAACACACTAACTATGGCAATACTGCGCAAAACTCCAGGCTACCACACAAAGGAACAACATCATGAGGGTCAGAGGAGAGATGGATGAGCTCTGGGCATTCAGCTCTGCCACCACAGAACATTTTTCTGTCCAGCATGAGCGACACTGAAAGGACAAAATCAGGACATGAGGCAAAAAGGGAAGGAGAAAAACCCTGTATTTAGTTATTATTTTTTTATTAACATAACTGAGATTTTCTGAATAATTTCTGGACAACAAACAACGACATGGCCAGAGTTGAAGAAAAGAATGGCACGTGTGAAATATAACAGTGAAAACGAAGTGATAATACATCTCTAGATTAATTAGATATGCAAAACAAAAAAATAAAAATAATTGTAAAAATCTAATACATTTGTAAAATGTTTTATTGTATAAAATAGGTGAGATCTTTAATTTGCATGTTGTCCGAGAGGGATTTCATATCTAAACATATTTCATTAGCTCACTAAACAAGACAACCCACGGCAAATCAATATTGGTATAACAGCCTTCTGTCACTCTACTAATCAGATAATCAGCTGGCTGCTTCAGTTCTCCATTTAGGGATTTAAGAAACAATTAGATTTAATCCACACAAATAAAACCCCCAAATTTAACAAGTAGTCAATTATACATATCATTATTGCTGCTGTTTCATTTGATGTGGGAAGAGCGATACTCTTGTGTTTCTCCTGCCTCTCTGCACATGTTAAACCTCAGTGCATGTACCATCAACCAGCCCCTCTTTCCAGTGCTTTGTTCGAGCAGGTTGTTGGGGGAAGGTTGGGAAGAAATACTGGGTGTGGCTTCGCTGTTCTCATGGCAACGGAGTTATCACTGCCTTTAAACTGCTTCACCAGCACCAGAGTGGTGAAACTCAGCCGCCAATAACAATATACGTGCGAAGCTGGTGATGTACATTATTTGTGCTTATTGGTACAATATTTCAGCTAAACCGACTGGCTCAGGCTGAGCCTCTGTGCATGCGTGTCATGTCTGACATATCAGTGCAAAGCAAGAACCGAGCACACGCATGGAGAAGCAGGTGCTTGGTGGCTTTCTAAGCAATTTCTTTGCGTAGACATGTAATAGCATGGGATGAAACCCATTCAAATGTGCCACTATCAGTATTCTGGATTTATACCAGCAGCTATGTGGGAATAGTGCTGTCCAGGATGCAGGAATATCTTCCTTATAAAGCACAAGGTTACTGTCTATTCATGGACACATACAGAGTAAATAGACTCTGAGTGTGTGGCCATGTAATAGCACTGAAAACATGACCTGTAGACAACCCCAGCGAGGAGGTTAAACAACACAAAGCAGAGAAGCTGCTGTACATACAGTCCATCTGTACTGCTGTCAATGTCTACAAGCCTTTGTGTACCTCATTATGTTACTGTGAACAAGTGAGAAAACTGACAATATAATAATATAACACCTTTACCTCCATGCTGTCTCACTGAGTATAGATAGCTTCTTTAAATGAGGTCAGGATAAATCAGACATCTGCTACAAATGTAGCTGCATTTCGAGCCAGGTTTGCTTTCAGGGGGTTGCTGAATTTAGACAAAGTCAGTGGCAGCTTCTGTGTGCTTTAAAAAGCACTGATCAAAACTGCTTCATTAAGGCAGGCTTATACTTATCGTGTATTGTCAGAATAAGTAGTTAACAGCCATCTAATATGGACTCTTACTGTATAAGATGTTGCAAATATTACCATCTGGTGTTAAAATACAGTACTGCAGAAATTGCTGTGCCGTACATTAATAGTCCATGTCAGAGGGCTGATAACATGCTATAGTTTTAAGTATAAACCTTTACCGATCAAGTAGTGTTCATTGAGGGTTTTGGCTACATCGACACCAGGGGATAAGCTAAAGGGAAAACCACAATATATTCAAAAGAAATATAACTGAATGGTTGACAAGGATAAAAAATAGTACTAATCAGCCTGTCCTCCTCAAAACACAGTTTATCAAATGTATTTTTCACCCTGTAATGTTAAGTGTATCATATTTGATACAAGACTTTCACATCATCAGTATCCCTCTGAAAAACCTAAATAAATTGTACAATAAATTTGAAAGCAATAAATTGAAACAAAACAAAACAAAAAAGAACAAAAATAACACAGATGTAACAAATATGATAGAAATTAAAGCTGGTGTGTGCAAATTAATATTTCATTTCTTTCTCTCTCTCTCTCTTTTAAAATGTGCTAGAAGGTTTAATAAACCTAAAAGAATTCTGGTAATGTTTTCATGGCTCAGGCTTTAATGGGATAAGAATAGATGCTTTACTGTGTATTTTCCTTTACCATACATTAAACCTTACAATTCTGGAAAGTTAGATTGGGGAATAAAAGTGCATTACCAGCAAAGAATTTATATTTTTATTTATATATATATATATATATTTTTAATGAACTACATACTAAAGTGTTGGTATTACAGTACTGTGCGTTAAAAGTGGTCGTAAAAGACTTTACAAATACTGAGTATTTTAATGCAGGATTGAGATCAGGATTGTACTTTATTAATACAAACTCAAGTAAGCTTCACGTTCAGTAACAACAACAATGTGAAGACCGGGCAGATGCACAATATCCAGTCGGTAGGATGCACTATTGCTCTTCTCATGCTTATCCCTGTGTGGCTTTACAAATATAAGTAAGAAATAATGCTAAATATAAATTGTCAATTGTAAGTTCGTTACCTGTAAAATGTAGAGCACTGAAGAACATGCAAAGCCCATAACTCATCTGTCTTTCTTCTTTACAGTGTGTAGCTCAGGGCTGTGAACATAAAGCCTGGAGGCCAGACTTGGCTGGCAAAGATTCCAATCTGGACCGTATAAAAGAGGGCATAAATTCTGGACTTTTAAGTGTTCTTTCACAGGTCTTCCTGCTGATGATGACTTCTCCCATGGCCATTCATATTACATCATAAAACTGAGTTTATTTTGGTTTGGCTTTTTCCACAATCCACTATAGAAGTTTTCTGTTGCAGTGGGTCCACAGTAAAAAACAAACAAACAGAAAACATCAGGACGTTTTGTGTGAAGGAAAAGAAACTTTCTGTTTTAGAATTAAAATCCCTGGTGCATTTCTTGTTGTGTCTCTCTTTGTTGCATTTAGGAAGCAAATTAAAAACAGCCACTTAATACCTTTTATTTATTCAGTCAGATATGGTAATAGTATAAATAACAATGACAGTTAAATCAGGTACTTACATGCAATTTGTGATTTTTCAATGATTTAACACAGCTAACTCAGCTCACTAAATTGGAAAAAAAGTTATTTTGTTTTATTTTGGTCACTTTCATTTCAAGTACTCGTGTTTGAGGTTTTCTGGCTTTGTTGTTTAATGACATATCTAAGAAAATATAACTTATAAAAGCCCTGAAAAGTTGTTTTTCTTGCCAGATTTTCACTTGGCTACCTGCAGGCCAGATATTCTACAGATTCTTTCTCTAATCTAAAACATTTCCTACCGTTTTTACAGCATTTGAATGCAGCAGAGCATTTTGAGCGCCAACTCTGGCTGTGATAGCTAACGCAGAGCAGAAGAGGGGTTCGGTTTAAAAATAAGAAGCAGATGAAAAACAAGCTACACTAATAGTAGTTAATTCGTAGTTTTCTGGCCATGTTTCGCTATAAGACTGCCTGGTTTTCTAGCAGTGTGCCACAGACCTGTCACATGTTTTGGAGTAAGTATCCTGTTTTTAGCTTTGGTTTAAGCTAGCCATCCAAATAAACCTAGCAACCAAAGAAAGTTTATAGAATTATCTTAAAGATGCTGCTGCTGTCATAAGGTAAGTTTAAAGTAATTTAACAAAGTCTTGATTTAAAGGGACCTCTAGTATTGTGCACAAGTCTTGAGGTATCACTAATGTCTTTATTTTTTGCTTCAAAGAAGCCAGACTTCTGTGCATTTTTTAAAGTAGTCTAAGTTCTCCAATCTTTTTGAAGGTCTTTCAAATCCACTCCTTCTACCTGACCGACCCAAACACTGACCTGTTTAATTATTCAAATATATATTTGAAAAAATAATAAACCTGCATTTCTTTAGTTGAAGCCCAATTTTTGCCTTACATACTGTATTGTAGTGTATGTTTGTACCTTTCAATAAATCACTGCACCATTTTGCTAGCAGAATATCAAGAATTGAGGGTTGGAGGAAGTGTTTTTCACAGTACTGTGCTCTGGCATTTATAGAAACACCTTTGTTAGCTTGTTCTGAATGCTTTTTATCTCTTAGCTTCAGAGGGGGGCTCCATTGCTCATTGGAGGACAGCGGATTACCTTTTCAGTGAAGATGCTACATGCCCTGATACTCTTAGGTTAGCATGCTGAGCTGAAAAGCTTTACAGTTATCATCCTCCGGAGCGTTTGTGTTTGTAACGCATTTTCCCACAATCCCTTTAAAGCTTAACATGTAAATACTGTTTTTCAGGATCTTTGAGAGCAAGGATTACCTCTGGAACAAGCTGACAGTATTTCACAGCTTGTTTCTGTCCGCCTGTGAAAAGAGGCAGAGTGTGAAGTCTTTGAGCATTGGTCAGTATGTGCTGCCTCCAGCCTCCGTACAAGATGGTAAGGATTAATTTACGCCTATTAATTTGTTGTGATTAAACAATACTAAGTCCTTGGTAGATAAGACTGAGGCATACAGAGATAATAAGAAATAAAAAAGAAATGTTGACAGATATTGATTTAACCTACTTAAAGTTTGTTCACTGCTTTTTCTGGACATTTGATAAATAAAAATATATTATATGAGTGGATAAATTAACTAAAGAAGTGTTAAAAAAATATTATATATTACATTCCTGGTCATTTATTTGTGCGGGAGGATCACAACCCCTTTTTGAAATGAAGGAAAAACCCTGAATTATTTTCTACACAAACCACTTCTTTAGATTTTTGCCTCTTCATTTAAAAAAAAAAATTGATAGCTTTTCCTCAGGTTCCTGAAAACATTTACAAGAACTGTCACTTTCTGAGTGGTTCAGCTCAAAAAATGTCAACCTGCCATGACGTTGGAAACAGCTTCTCATTTATGTATCATTTCAGAGGTGAGAAAAGTGTTTGGGCAGCTGATTTGGGAGCGTAATGAGCAGTCAGCGGATGAGGTACGGACAGCAGCAAGATAAGCTGCACACAGGTTACGCCTGTAATTCTTGTTTCCACACTAATGTGTGTGAGATGCTCAAACAGTTAGCCAGACAAGTCCTCTGTTGGTCGAGCACAGTTATACAGAAACATGCCACACTCCCTTTGTGACAAACCAGTATACACTGTTTGTGGCTGAGTTGCTGTTGTTTCCATTTACTTACACTTTGTTATAATTCCACTAACAGCTGTTTGTGGAATATTTAAAGGGGACAGGAAATGCTACACACATAAAGGGTAATTTACACCATTGAGCCCTGCTCTCAAAAACTGACATAGATGCCGGTCTGGTGACTCAAACAAATTCTCCTCCACACTGTTTTCATTTATAAAGTACTTTACAAACCTGAACATTACAGCCAACAGCTGGACAGAAGATGATGTTAAACATGCTTTTAAAACTTTAACTTTAAGCTCTTATTTCTTAAATCCACAGACAGAGTTACATGTATGTCAGTTTTTGAGAGGAGGGCTCCGCGATGTAAATGAGCTTTTATGTGTGTAGCATTTCATGTCCCCTTTTAATAGCGAGTAAATTTCACGACTGAACTTGTTGCGGAGGTGGCATCCTATCACGGAACCACGCTGGAATTTACTGAGCTCCTGAGAACGACCCTTTCTTTCACAAATGTTTGTAGATGTCTGCTAGGCTATTTATTATAAAGAATATTCATTCATCCATCCATTTTCTTCCACTTACCCTGAATTGGATTAATTGAACTTGCATCACGGCACATTGCTCAGGAACTTGCTGTGTTTTGTGTTACATGTGATGGGATTTAAAATAAACTTAATTAGAGTAACTCCTGTTTTACAGCACTCCCTGAAAAGCTTTAATTGCCCAACAGATGATGAGTTCAGTGAAGAAGAAATCAGCATAAGGTAGTATGTGGACTTGCAACTATAAATATTGTGATTCTGATTTTAAAAAATGTAGACTGACTACTAAACTAATAGCCTCCATCACTCTGTTGGCAGTTCTGGACTATCTGACGCCGACTCATCAGAAAATGAAGCACCACTTTGTGGTCATATGCAAAAATATCCAATTAAAAGCATGATTACAGGTGAAGAATTGTTAGTTACTGTTCTTTTCACAGTTTATTATTGACCTGTATCAAAGGTCTAGTGTAATAATAGATGACAGTAAAAGGCAGAAGACATTTGTGTGCTACACATTATTATTTTCTTCTTACTCCTTGCAGGGTACGTCAGCATGGACAAGCTGCAGAAATACTCGGGTGACCTGTGCGATTTCTATTGCGGGTGTTTCCGATGCTTCAGATGTAAAACACTCTGCTGTTTGCCACACTCATAAGCAAGCAAATAGTTAGAGAAAACCAGCAGTTTTTACAAGATGAGTTATTATGTTTGTTTATTATGTTTACATTGCCTTCCTGCACTGATTTATTAGTAATCAGTATGTTATAGCTACTGCTGATGTCATTTTGTGATTTTATTGTACTCTTGTTACAGTTCTGTGTGCCACTAGCTTTTAACTTTCATATCATAAACGATGGTGATTTGCCACATGACGCTGGTTGTCCTGTGACCTTGTACTTATGTTATCCCTCTGACATTGTCCCTAGTTTTTATTGTTGCCTGATGAAACCATTGCTGAAAGGAGGATCATATTAGTGTCTATTTAAATCCACAAATCAAAGTTTGAGACAGGAATTACATTTATGTGCTTATTGAATATGCTTTAACTTTGCTAACTTCCATGACAAATACAGCAACCTGGATTGACTCTAGTGAGGGTGAGAGATGGGTGTGCAACCAGCTAAAAGTCTTCTAGTTTACAGTAGGTTTACTAAATTCATAAAAAAAATCTACCTGCAGAGTTTTCACTGAGCTCCCACGAGTACATAGACTTTTGATCCATCCAGTGTGCACCTCAGACTTTTGCTCTGGGACAGCATGCAGCCCCCTGATAGCAATCAAGAAATTAATAAATAAAAAGATAAGATAAGCAGACAAGGTTTTCTCTTCAGTGTAGCCACCTAACAAGGGGCACCTTGAGAATAACAAAAATATTGCTACTATTTCTTCTGCATCTGTTTAGGCTGTTGACGTACAACATTTACGTGTATTACACCTATCTGCGTGACTGAGGCAAAGTTACAAGAATCCAAATTGCAAATTTGGAAACTGCGAGGGTGGTGCAGCGGGGCAGTGGTTAGCACTGTCACATCACAAAAAGACACTTCCTGTTTTGAACCCACTGGCCAGCTGGGGTCCCTCTTCTTTTTCAGCTGTTAACAGCATTACTCCAGCTACCTGCTTGGCTTGGGTGATGGTACTAGTCTCCAAGCCTGCTGGAAAGCACTGCAGATACCCATCCCACAAAGAATTTGTACACTTACACAACCAACTACTGGATTTCACGTTTCATCTCCAGATTCTATTTATATTTCCTGTTTATCTTAAAAACACAATATGCAATAAAGCACTTAAACTTAATGCCTGCTCCCATATCCACAAGGGTTGCTACATTGCATGACTACATTGCAAGAAGCGTTTCTGACTCCATTACATCAGAACTGCTTCTTTACCTCGTCACATTGTGCTGTGTTTTCCTGATCATTACATAGCCGTATATAATTTTATGCGACCTACTCTTAAGCTAAAATAGATAGACTCTTTTCTCTTTTATTTGAAAATGAATTGCTTTTACTTTTATTTATACTACACAGTGCTCGCGTCCCACCCGTGGAGCCAGTTGTTTGTTTTTCACATTTTCTGAGCATTACCTCCTCTTATCACCTCTTGATTTAGTGTCTGTTTAGGCGGAATTAATATACATATAATTATTCATTATCGCCCTAAAATAAGTAAATCTGATCTAAACTTTAGTTACTACCTGACCTCTGTACCGCGGGTTGGTTAACGATCCAGTCAGTTTTACCTTTTTACTCCCTCCCCTTTTCAAATGGACGCTCTTATTTGACTCAAGTAGCACCACGGCAATTTAAAAACAATTTTGCTTATTAAATCGCTCCATATCAATGATGAAGATTTAATATCAATTTGCGATTAATAAAAAATATAGTTTATATCTTTACTCGAGGGGCAAAGAATAGTTTTGGTGTCACACTTGTGCAGTTTTATGTTTTTGCGTCGCAGCGTCCACCCCTACAAAGTGGACTGCTCCGCAGCGTTTTAAGCCAATCACGGGGTTTGTTTAGGAAGGAGTGCCCTGCCATTGCTTTGAGTACTTTGAAGCTGAGGGGAACTCGACACGGTCTGTCTGTTTGCACTCTGCCGTGCTTTCTGTTGACTTCACGTCGTTGTAAGCCCAGCATTTCTCTCTGTCATGGCGCAAGACAATCTGTCCCTGGTGCTGCACGCTAAAGAAGACCTGCGGCTGGTATGAAACTGCTGTGACGTTACATATTCACGTTCATACACGCTGTGCGACCTCAATTGACTGCAACTTTTTTGCATTTTCGTCGTTTGTCACAGGAAAATCGCCCTATCCCGGAACCAGGACCTAATGGTATAGTACTGCACTCAAGTGCAACTTATATTATATACGTCATCAAAGAGCAAACAAACCCAAACGTCCAAACAAGCTGTTATTGCTATGTTAAATGCTTTTTCAATGAATAGTTATTGGTCATTATATTTTAATTATGCCATTCATTTCTTAGCTTTTGACTTAAAACACATGGGCATTGCTTTTTTTCATTAGTATGGTGTTGAAGCAAGCAGCTTAAAATGTAGAAAATTGCATGATCTCTACTCAGACCAGTCTGGGAGTGCAGCTGTGTCCTAACTGCGTTCCCGGTTTGCCTTTTGTACTCAGAGGTTTTGCTGCAGATGCACTCTGTGGGAATCTGTGGTTCGGATGTGCACTATTGGCAGAATGGCCGGATAGGGGACTTTGTGCTCAAAAAACCCATGGTGCTGGGGCACGAGGCCTCGGGGAGAGTGGCGAAGGTTGGCTCAGAGGTCAAGCACCTTAAAGTGGGTAAGTGCAAATATAGTATGTAACTCTGAGCTGTGCACCAAAGCCAGTGTCTCCTAAAGTTTGAACTGAAGAAACTTATTCTAAATTTACCCATCACACAAATTGAATTTAGATTGAGGTTCAAGCTATGGAATCCTTCTACCTTATGCTAGTTTTCACTCAGCATGTGGTGATAGTTGCGCAGATGAGACCATCTGCTTTAATTTTTCTTTTTCTTTTCTCTAGGTGACAGAGTGGCTATTGAGCCTGGTGTGCCCCGTGAGATGGACGAGTTCTTCAAAACTGGACGCTATAATTTATCTCCCACTATCTTCTTCTGTGCCACACCCCCTGACGATGGAAACCTCTGTCGCTATTACACGCACAGTGCCAACTTCTGTTACAAGTACCGGTGTTTTTCCAAGATTGCATCAATCGCGAAGCTGCCTCATCTGTCTGTTGGCTAACATGCATAAATTCTTTCCTTGTTTCCCTCTTCAAAAACTGTTCAGGTTGCCTGATAATGTCACATTTGAGGAGGGAGCGCTCATTGAGCCTTTGTCTGTGGGAATCCATGCCTGCCGAAGAGCTGGAGTGACCCTTGGTAGCACTGTGTTCGTCTGTGGTGCAGGTAAAAATGAGACAAAAGTCATCGAAACTGCTAGTAATATTCCATAAACAAGATGAGAACTAGGGTATTTGAGTAAGATGCTCATGCAAGTAGGGAATCCCTTTGGCACACGGTGGGTGTAAACTAAAACGTGAGTCCTACTGACTTAACAAAACTAGAGTGATGTGGGGATGCATGCAGGTAAATCTCAATGTTTAACTTTTTTCCCCTCTGGAAACAAGTTCATTTAAGCACTCTGTTGTCAGTAATACGTGATGCAGTCTTGAACTTTCTTTTTAAATGTACGTTTGTGTAACACATGTTCACTTGGAGTATTTGTGCATGCTTCTCCTCTTTACACAGGACCTATCGGGTTGGTCTGTCTGCTTGCAGCCAAGGCAATGGGGGCCTCGCAGGTCGTCATATCTGGTAACACAATTTGTCATTTTAAGCATTTATCTTAACAGAAGTATTCATTCTCATAATTCAGTTTAACTCTGGTTACCATCCTTTGCTGTGTTCAGATCTGTCTGAGGAGCGTCTGCTGATGGCCAAAGACCTGGGTGCAGACTTCCTGCTGACTGTGAGGAGAGGAGATGGAGCCCAGCAGCTGGCAAAGAGTGTGGAGGAAATGTTGGGGGCGCAGCCTCACATTACCATTGAATGCACTGGTGTTGAGAGCTGCATCCAAACTGCCATCTATGTATGTGGCCCAGTAAAGTCAAAAGTTGTAGTCACATTTCTGGAACGGTTCCATGCAAGTAATAGATGAGCGAGTAATAATTTAAAATCTGCATTATATTATTGCATGAGATGTCAAAACTTGAAGTTCTCTTGCCTGCCATCAGTGGTGGGATCTAAAGTTCATTTCTTCACACATGAAGTATAGTTCTTTAATTTAGTTGAATATTTCTAAGTTTCATGCAGCTTTTGTACTTCAACTCAGCAGTGACATGTCCTTTTGATTGCTATAGTTGTTGGCAAAAGGTTTTAGTTGCATAATAGCTGATGAGCTCATGAGATATGATGCAAGGTTAAACACTGCGAAATGGTAAAAACGCCACCAACTATAACGGGACACAATCTTATCTGTATCTGTCCCAACATAAACAGGGTTCAGTCTCTGCCGACTCCTAAAATAATCACTTTGTTTTGTTTTTTTCTTCCCCTTTATCAGGCAACCCGTTCAGGAGGTGTCGTGGTGCTGGTGGGTCTTGGCTCAGAGCTGGCTACAGTTCCTCTGATCAATGCCGCTGTAAGAGAAGTAGACATCAGAGGAGTTTTCCGCTACTGCAATACGTAAGCTAACGCCCATATACATTTTTTTTTTTTTCTACAAGCAGATGCTAACAGTTAGGTTCCATCAATTTTAAAAGCAGTAATATATGGACCATTGTATTTGGGCTAAGTTAAAGTAATTATTGCACTTAAACAATTGTTTGTGTTGCAGCTGGCCAATGGCGATTGCCATGTTGGCGTCAGGTAAAGTGAATGTCAAGCCCCTTGTGACCCATCGTTTCCCTCTGGAGCAGGCAGTCCAAGCCTTTGAGACCACACGTCAGGGTCTTGGAATAAAGGTTATGTTGAAGTGTGACAAAAATGACCAAAACCCCTGAACGGATCAACTGACAGCGGCTCTGCATGACTAGCACAAACTGGACATTGACCTGAACAAAGATAACAGAGCTAGTTCGAAACAATCCCTCAACTTGACCACACTGTGAAAGAAGTGACTGCTGCACTGCTTAGAGGGCACACATGTAATTAGAATTATTAAATGGTACAATTAAAGGATTTCATAGTGCCTATTGATTCTAATACTAAAACATAATACTTGTATGACTGTATGTAATGTGCAAGTTTCTGGTATCTGTAAGTTAAGGATTAATTTAAATATTGTAACAATAAAAACAAATCTTGAATTATTGAAGTTTGTATTTCTAAAGTGGAGTACATTTGTAGGCTCTGCATTTACAAATGTCAACACTAGGGGGCATAAGAACTTCAAAGTTGAATTGATGTAAATCGTACTGGAGCTTACAACCTGTTAATTGTGGTGTGCTGTTTTTTTTTTTGTTTTTTTTTTAATAGTGGGTGTGCAGGAAATCAATGTACTCAGCTGTGCAGAAAACTGGAACTGATCAAAGAAACCTGCCAAATGGAGTTCACTCTTGAAATACTATGCTACAAAGTGTTTATCAAAATCTGGAGCAGCCGCACAGTTCTTTCTCCTCTGGAGCTGCTCTTTTCTTCATGCAGTGGGTTGTTTGGAGACTAGTGCCACCAGAATGAGTCATGCACAGTATGGACAAACTAGCTGAGTTTTATAGCACACGGTTCCCCTGAAGCAATAATACTGACTTCATATACTTATAAACTCCTGTCCCCCATTAAGGTGATGAGTACTCGGAACACTTATAATTACACAAAGCTGCCTTGTGCAAAAACATGCATGTGATTAAATAATAGGAAACAATGTTCAGTAAAGTATTTGTTGAGAAGCAAGTAAGCATCCTACATCATGCCATACAATATTCCTCTTTTGCATGGCTGTAAATGAGCAGGTTATAACAGATAATTGGTCACCTCTATCATGGCTCTGATATTTGATGGTAAATCTTTTTTTTCTTTTTTGTTTAATGCTTGGTCTCAATCTGAGACTAATTCTATGTGCACGAGAGACCATTGAAAGAAATGCCTTTGCAAAGCTGCTTTTTAATGTATTTTCTACACTGACAGTTTTAGGCAATCAAAAGAAAACACTGCAGCCTTGCTTTCGAATGAATACCTATTATGAAACTGTCACATAGCAAGTGCCTTTCATCACACACAGGCTGAATTATAATCCTATGCGCCTTGAAAAACACAAGTAAAACTGATAATTAAGGCTCCCTCTTTTCTGTTTGGATAATGCTTGGGTATCCTGTATCCCTGCTGAATGACCTCCTCTGTAGTTTTTGATGAGTCAAAACAGCTGCATTGAAATTTCACACTGCATAATATATAACCGCAAGAGATGTTTTACTGTTCACTGCTCAATTGAGAGATGCTAATCAAATCAGAATCAGTCTTACCTGAAGTGTCTATAGTAATTTAATTATTTAGTCGTAGTAATCATCTCATGTGATGGCTGTGGTAGAACGGGTGATCTACTGTTCAGTAGGTCGGTAGAGCATTCCCCAGCTTCTACAGACCATGTACCCAAGTATCTTTTGGCAAGATGCTGAACCTTGAGTTGCCCCTGAGTGTCATCTTTGTGTGTCTGTGTGTGTGTGAAATGTGCTGTATAAGTAACAATTCTTTTACCAGAGATATTAAGTTGTTTTTACTTCTGACTAAAGCAGCCAATCAAAATTTCAACTTGCATCATAAACACTTCAATTTAGCCTGATTTATTTTATTTTAATCATCCAGGAAGCTTCTCCAGTTCTAAAACTAAATGATTGAAAGTCCCAGATAAAACTCCACCACTGATTTTAGAACTGAAGAAGCCTCTTGGATGAGAGGTGAAACGTCTTCAAGTCCAGTTGCTTTCTTTCCAAGCCACATTGGAGGGTTTTTGAGCATGAACCACCTTATTAAGGTTATACCACAGCATCTCAATCAGATGAGGTCAGGACTTTGACCAGGCCACTCCAAAGTCTTCGTTTTGTTTTTCTTAAGTCATTCAGAGGTAGACTTGCTGGTGTATTTGTGATCATTGTCCTGCTGCACAACCCAAGCGCACTTCAGCTTGAGGTCATGAACAGACGGCCAGATAGTCTCCTTCAGGCTGTTTTGGCAGACAGCAGAATTCATGCTTCCATTTACTACACAAGTCTTCCAGGTTCTGAGACAGCAAAACAGCCCCAGACCATCAAACTATCATATTTTACTGTTGGTATGATATGCTTTTTCTGAAAGGCTGTGTTACTTTTATACCACATGTAATCAGACACACACCATCCCAAAAGTTCAACTTTGGTCTTGTCAGTCCACAGAATATTTTCTCAGAAGTCTTGGGGATAATAAAAATGTTTCCTGGCAAAAATGTTCCTTTTGCTCAGCAGTGGTTTTAGTCTTGAGTCTGCCATGCAGGCCATTTTTGCCCAGTCTCTTACTTATGGTGGAGTCCTGAACATTGACTTTAACTGAAGCAAGTGAGGCCTGCAGTTCTTTGGATGTTGTTCTGGGGTCTTTTGTGACCTCTTGGAAGAATCGGGTAATTTTGGTCAGCTGGCCACTCCTGGGAAGGTCCACCAGTGTTCCATGTTTTCGCCACTTGTGGATAATGGCTCTCACTGTGGTTTGCTGGAGTCCCACAGCTTTAGAAATGATTTTATAACCTTTTCCAGACATGAGAGATCTCAGTGACTTTGTTTCTCATTTGTTCCTGAATTTCCTTGGATACTCCATTATGTCTGGCAGATCCTATTAATTCTTGATTGAGAACAGGTGTGGCAGTAATCAGGCTTGGGTGTGACTAGAGAAGTTGAACTCAGCTTTCCAAAGATGTGATATACCACAGTTAATTTATGTTATAATGGAGCGGGTGGGGCAACCACTTTTTACATACAGGGCCATGTAGGTTTGGATTGTTTTCCCCTCCTTAATAATGAACACCTATACTTAGAAACTGCATTTTCTATTTTCTTGTGTTATCTTTGTCCAATGTTTAAATTTGTTTGATGATCTGAAACATTGAAGTAGGAAAAAAAATAGGTAATCATAAAGGGGGCAAATACTTTTTCACCCCCCGTATCCCAGTCCAGCAGAGCACCTTTGGGATGTGGTGCATTGGGAGATTCACAAATCTGCAGCAGCAACTGTGATACTATCAAGTCAACATAGACCAAAATCTCTAAGGATTGTTTGCAGTTCCTCGTTGAACCTTCATGAAGAATCATGAAGATTTCAGGCAGTTAAGTCTTTGTGGAGTAATTTAAAGCATTTGCAGTTTAAAAAAATAAATCACAGCCAGGTTTAGCTCATATTTTATTATCCTGTCACAATGACATGATTCTACTTTACGAGGCATGCACACAGATAATGTTCTTACGGTTAAAATTTACTACAATGCATTGGAAAGCCATTACTCCCCAGTAAGGCTTTTTTTTGTCTGTCACAGTGTGTGATTCACAGTTCTCTCTTTCCCTCTCAAGAATGAAGGGCAACATATAGCTGGGAGGACGTTTGCGGTGACTTAAACCTGTGAGGTTTTGGGTTTTTTTGTTATTTTATTTTTTAACATGAGCACAATACTAGACAAGTTTTTTATTTATGTACAGACATTCTAATACTGCGTATGGCAATGAGACAGCTCACACAACAAAGTTACATTCACAGTCCACTCAAAGTATGCATGAGTTTCAGTCAGAACACTAGAGATGAACACACAGCAGAGAAGCACACAAAAGAAACTTTTCATACCTGTGACTTGATATCCAAAGCATAACTGATGCATGTTAATATTATTTAAATGTGAGTGTTTGATTTAGAAAAGACTTGCCATTCAGAAGTTGAACTCGTGTATTGCCTTAAAATGTCGTAAAGTAAAAGGATATGGCGTTTCTCCCGTACACCCCTGCTCCAAGAATTGGCTTGAGTCACATGTATGTTATTTTATTCACTTAGCACATCTAAACCCAACATTTCAGACACGTAACTCGTTCCCCTTTTGATGATATCCGGCATTAAGTTGTGTCTTTGCCATCATCATGGCCTCAGTTCGATGGCAAGATTCAGTAAATATTTACAATACAGCGCTGCCCCCCCCCCCGTCCGCACTCACAATATTAGCAAAATATGTATTTACATGAGAATAAATTAACAGAAATGAAAATGGAAATATACAAGAAAGTAGAGTAGAAGTATCATATTGCATTACATGAATATAAAAAAATAAACTGTGACGTATTCGTTCGGTAAGTCCACACAGACAGGACAAATAAATAGCAAACAGTATCCACGCACATCCACACACAAACACATACACTCTGTCTCTTCAGCTGGTCGAGTGGATTAGGCATCCAGTATCAATATAATGGCTGTTGCATGTTAAGCACAGACTAGAGAGATGATGAGGAGTTGGAGTCATCAGCCCAAAGACGAAGAAAAGAAAAAGAAGAGAGAATTGAAAGGACAGGGAGGAGTAATCCTCCACCCCGTAACCAGTCAGGTTTGTTTGTATGATAACCCACCGCAGCTGACTGCCTGTCCCGTGGGGCGGTTCTTGGCTGTTCTTTATATGTACATGGGGGTCTCCTGTCCCGTTAGAAGCCTGAACATGGCTGCCGGCATGGTCTTCATGTGAATCTGACGGAGAGAGAAAACACCAGGGGTTCTGTGAAATGGACCATCAGCTGAAACCTGAAGAATAAGACGGTTTTTTTCTTCTTGTAAATACAACATAAAATTCAAATGAAATCGATGGACAAAAATGTCACCAGGCAATAAGGACACAGTTAAAAAAGATATAGACAATTTAAAGGGTTCTCAACTGTATAAAAGTAATGATCTGAGCAGAATATTTTACTGTACTGTACTAACACAATTTATGGTCTCCCACATCGAAGTGCCTGAACACTAAGTAGTGAATAAGTGAACCGACACTTCCATCTACCGTGTATTTGAGTTGGGTATTTTTTTTAAGCAGTGTGACTTATTTGGCTCTGACAGTGATCTAGTTCTGCTCTTACACTTCACTCATCCAAGGTTACTCCATGTTTACGATTTTTCCTACCAATGTAAGAATTACACCAACCGCACTGTTTGCTTATACTGCAGGCTGTCTGTTAAAAGTATGTCATCTGTCAAAATTAATCCTGTAAAGCCTGAACCATGAAATAATTGTCAGCAAATTGTAAAGTTTTGAAACTGGACAGTTTATTGAACCTTCTGACAAATTCTGAAAGATAAATTAAATATAAATTAGCATATATTCATTTTCATTTGTATCATTTTTGCTATATATGGCATTTTTGTGCAATTTATCGCTCACAGTTTGTTTATTCTGGTCAGAAAAACCACAGTGATGATGTAGAGGTCTAAAGCGTTAAAGACACATGGAAAAGCTATTTTCTTCACAGCAGATGTGCCAAACATAAAACCCAGGTGCCAGAGTCAGCCTGGCAACAATTCCAATCTGACCCAGTGGATGGTGCTGGGAATGTGCATGACTTTTACCCATATTTTAAGAACCTTTCCTTCTGACGAAGACGTCCCGATGGCTTCACCAACCAATTAGGCAACAGATAAATAATTAAATGACAGAAAAGTTTGTAGTTTTTCACTACAAGTACATAGTAAAAAAAGCAAATTTCTGGACAGTCAATGAGCCACCAGAACCTTTTCTCTAATTCAACAATTTCTTTTTCTTATAATTTAAACTCAAAGAGTCATGCTGACAGATTTCTTTCATTCTACAGCAGGATTTCTATATCATGCAGAAAAACCGAGACCTAATGTTAAATTCACTCTTGATTTTGTTATATTAAGATATCTCAAGGATTAAATGTGTAATTAAACTACTTTAAACTGACAGAAAGGGGAATTTCACTAGTGTGACCCAGTTAAGATCAAGCATGTGGCCCATTATGTAATTTGAGTTGACATGCCTGCTTTAGAGCAGTAATTGTTGCGATTATGTACCAACAATCATTGCTGTGCATTATTTTTACAGATGATTCAATTTAGTGACCATGACAGCATAGATGGATGCAGGATGGTGAAACCAGTGTATAAAGGAGCGTTCACACAGGAAGACATTCATCACACATCACTTTGTAGCTGATAGTCGGTGGCTAGCAACCATTCCAGGCTCTGGCTGCCTCTGTAACCCCACTGTCATATGTCAATCAGCATACATTTGTTCTTATTGTTAGCTGCTTCAATACTTGGTCTCAAAGAGGGGAAGCACTTAATTCAGGATTCACCTACTTTGCACCATCAGCAGTTATTTCCTTTGATGGCCAATAACAGGTGACTCATCCCTATGAGAAAACAACCTTTTAAACATTTTAAACTGTACTGAATTTAATCCTGATGAGCTTATAGTCTTAACAACTTTATTTCATGTGATTTTTATGTGGTAAATTATGCTCCCATCTATAATAAACTAGATACAGCAGTACCCTGTAAGTGACTGTCAGTCTGATCCACTCCCAGCTCGTGATGTCTGGTTTCAGACAACGAGTGTGTGAAGCCACAATAACGAAATCCATCATTTATATTCAGCCAAAAGTAAAAAACGGTAGTTGTACTGAAACCATCACAGTATTTGCACTGGATTTGCAAATGTTTGTGTCTGAAAATTATGGCTTTCTTTGTACATGTTCTTTTGTGAAATGTTTGTGTGCATCAGTTTCACCTCGCCAACAGAGTTCGAGAGAGCCTGGACAATCTTCTCGTGTGCTGTGGCCACCACACTCTGACCATTGATCTCTATGATCCTGTGACCTACCCGGACCCCACCTCGCTCAGCAATGCCTCCTCGCATCAGACTGCATATCTGGAGGAAAGACAAACAACAACAACAAAGAAGAAAATTAGCTCATTATAAAGGTATTTCGTTCTACCCCCTGATCATTTAACTAATTAGCTAATAATAACTAATAACTAATAGTATCAGAGCCACCCACTTACAGCTCTATTAAATTATACATACAATGCCATTCTGAACACTGAAGCCCAGCTGATACTTTAGATCTGGTCTCTTAATGAGGACTGTAGTAACAGGAGGGCAGCTGACAATGTTCATTTTCACCTGGACCTGGTTCTTTAAGCCCTTTGACACAGAGAAGAACACACAAACATAAGAGATTTTTTCACAGAAATTATGTAGTTGAATTTTGAAAATAACAAGTTAGGGTGTATTTCATGACTTCAGCTGCCTCTTCCATCCACTTCTCCAGTGTCTCAGTACCTTAATGATTCCCTGACAGGTGGCGAGCGGCAGCCCCACTAGGCTGGTGTTGTTGATGGACATGATTTGGTCTCCGATGCTGAGCTTGCCAGAGCGAGCTGCTGGGCCGCCGTTCATCATGTTGGCTAAAATAACTGTGGGCAGGATGGAGCCCCAGCCAGACTCCACAATCACCACACCCAGGATCTCCCCTTTACTCTTCTCCAGCTGCAGCTGTGGAGACAGAAGTAAGCAGGGGATGGAGTCTGTTTGTCATTTAAAAAAACCCAAAACCTTAATGATGAACAGAAACTGTCCAACTGTATTTGAAAACACATGACCCACAATGGTGGGGTTTTTAATATCCTTCATGTATATTAATGTATACTTTATTTTATACTTACAACAGTGAGACTGTACAGTCTCTTAACATGGATTACGGATTACTGCTTATACAGAAATAGATTCAAATCTCTGGTCAGATTAGACCGCTACAGCTAATGTTGAAAATCAGTGAGGACTACTGGTCCAAGGTTTCTTACCTTAATGTCTGGATTAGTTCACATTAGGGCTGCCACGATTAGTCGACTACCAAAATTGTCGACGACAAATTTAATAGTCGACGCGTCATTTAAAGCCTTGTAAGATCCTGAAAGACGTAAGTAGTAGGATTTAAGAGTGTAATAACGGACTGAAACAGAAGATGGCAGCACTGCATGTACAAGGATGCCAGCTGCCATTAAACCCCGAAGAAGAAGAAGCAGTGTCCGGTATCGTAGCTGGATTCAGGGGCCGCATCCTTCGGAGGCCACATTTGAAAGCCAGTTACATTGCAGCGACGCGACGAAGGCTTTCCAAATTCGAAGACTTCTGCAAATGCAGCCGATAAATGCGTCCTACTTTTCCCCAGATTTGAAGGGTGGGTCGGGCGTATGGCCCAACCTATCCCAGAATTCATAGCACGGCTCAGCCAATTCCAGTTTCTAACAATGGTGGCAGCTACTTAGTTTTAATATTACTTTTATTACTCTTTCTAGGTCACAAAATAAACTTTTAACATATTTTCAGGCGAGAATGTAGCTGTTTAAACTTAAAATATCTGTTCGTTTATCAAGACATCACATATTTGTAAAAGTGCGCCGACATTTTCGGAGACGTCTGTTACCCACCAGCTCGATAGCTAGCCACTAGGCTCACTAGAGCCGGTGAGAACACCGGACTCCCGGCAAATCGTTTTCAAACCCACCGCCGTCTTTCACTACTCAGGTTAAACATATATAAGTCACTTAGATAACTTAAAAATGTTATTGTTTGGCTTTTTTCAGTGTTTTATTTGTTCCTGAGTAAATCAGTTTGGCTGAGATTAAAGTTTTTACACAGCTGAATAAATGTCAAACAGAAAACAGAAGTGTGAGATGGTAGAATTTACTCCAATGTCCTGTTATATTTTAGATAGCAAGGAACAGACGGCTGAGTTTATTAAACTCCGCCGAAACAATCTGCAAAATTCATTAAAAGTTTAATAAACTATCATCTTGTCTTTATTTTTAGTTAGCACATACCTGAAACACTTCAAGCTGTGAGCTAATGATAGTTATATAAGAGTAGATGCATGCTGGTGCAATAAGCTGTACGTTTTACGTCCAATGGATGATGATCTGATTAGTCGACTAATCGCAAAAATAATCGGTGACTAGTCGACTATCAAAATAATCGTTTGTGGCAGCCCTAGTTCACATGACATTTTACTTTTCTATCTGCATATTTTATCTGCATGTTTTGTTTTGCTAACAGTGGAGATTAATAACAGCATATGACATGATGGATGCATGTGATGACCTCTCTACTACTTTGTGTCTCCCTTGTTTCCTTCATCTTTCTGTTTTTTTTATTTTTTTTATAGGAGGTAAGTGTCTGGCCCCGCTTAGAACTTGTTTTTTAAAAGGGTTTAGTGCTAAACATGTCTCTTGCTTCTCTCCAGCAGGCAGGGGTCATGGCTGGTTTGGGTTTTGTTTGCCTGTCATTTAACCTCCTAAGACCCGAACTCTTCCATGGCATGCATTTTTAATTTCTGTTTGCTATTTGGGATGATTGGGACCTGATGAATGTAAAAACAAAGAATTATGTGATTTTTTTTTTTTTACCCGATTTTTGTTTCTGAGAAAAATGAGATCCACATATGAGGACATTCGCTTTAAATTCCGACAGAACAGCGGCAGTATGATGTCCTCGTAAGTGGATATCAGGCCCTTGTAGAACAAAATTTAGTATTTTGGTCTAGACAACCCACATATGTGGACACCAGGTCCTAGGAGGTTAAGTTTCTTTCTTTCTTTCTTTCTTTCTTTCTTTCTTTCTTTCTTTCTTTCTTTCTTTCTTTCTTTCTTTCTTTCTTTCTTTCTTTCTTTCTTTCTTTC